AGAAATAGAGGAGACGACATCGATGGAAGTGAAAGTGCTGTACCATCTTGGCTGAGGCTATACCACACATCTTCATACCGGATATGCTATAGTTTTTTTCTGTTTCCATATTTTCCTTTCCTAGACGATTGTGCAATACGCTGTTACTACGCTTCGTAATCTTCTGATGCATGTGGATACTGTCAAGGCACAGGCACGGGTGCTTGGAGCAATAGAAGCATTGGCGCCACTACTTCTCAGAAATAATTGGAAATTCTTGGCACTGGTTGCTGATAGCCTCTACTTTCTCTTGCTTGGTAAGGACGATGTGTCTAGCAATTCCCTGCTATTTCTTTAAAAGGCAAGACAGAGTAGTGATCATTACTTGTTTTTTCGTGGTAGTTGGTTACGTAATTTCGGTATGTTTATGTTTATTTCTTTCGTATTTTGGCTCGTACAGTCGTGGCTCGCTGGCGATATATAGTCTATATAGTCTTGTAAATGTTCTGGATGAATCCATGTGTCATCAGTTATTTAAAAAATTGGGTTTATTTTTAGATGATCCTCAATCGAAAATCGTTTTCTTGTCACTCGGCGGACCGCAAACTTTGGTCCACATCCTCAATAATTACTCGCAATATCCTAAGCTGATGTATACTGTGATTCGCTGTGTGAGGTCATTGTCGGTTTGTCAGCAGAACAAGGCAGCGCTCATCAGTCTAGGTTGCTTTTTAATGCTAGCTGTATAGATTTTTTTCTCAGGTAAAATAATACATTTATAGGATGCCTTCCTGCGCTATACAAAGAAATGTGCTCAGCAACGGATGATCGAGTATTGCTTGCAATCCTTGTTGCCTTGAGAAATCTGTCCGACGCAGCTACTAATGAGGACAATCTGGCACCATTGGTATAACATACTGTTCCTCCTGTTGCAGCACCAGTGATGCTACGTATTTTTCAACAGGTTATCCGATTACTTGAAATCGTCCGTGTCGCAGATGCAGCTCAAACATCATGCGCTTGCGGCATACTGAGTAATCTGACTTGTAACAATGTTCGAAACAAGCAGACGGTTTGTTAAAAGAAATTTTCAACTTTTTTGTCCTATTAATAATCACGGTTTTGTTTCCGAATACGAATCTCGATGAAACGTCCATTAGAGTTGTGCTCTAGTGTTATTTTTGTAGGACATAAGTGCATATCAGGTGAAGCGAACCAGGGCCAAAAATTAGATAGGCTTAGCATTACGACTGTGCTTAAAATAGAATTGGAGCCGTTTTGATATCTGTTGATGTAGTTTTTGCGGGAAAAATTGGAGTCGCTGAAGACCACATTTTAGCTGTGCACAAATCACGGTGTGGAATCTCTAGTGGAAGCTATCAACCGCTTCCCCGAAGTGGAAGAAGCTACCGAACCTGCTTTATGTGCTTTGCGCCATTGCACAGCGAGACATTCGTACGCTGAGCAGGTGGGTGATACTTGCGCTGAGCTGCGCTCTAATTCGCAAACTTACTCTTAACTGTTTTCAGGCTCAACATGATCTTCGCCTGTGTCGAAGCTTCCCAATGCTACTTCAACTGCTGGCTACTCTTCGTGCTCCAGTAATCAAGGCAGCCCTTGGAGTTATACGTAACTCAGCTCTTCTGCGGGCCAACCTTATGGAACTTACACAGGTGCTTTTCCTGCGAATCGAAATTTGATACTTCTGGAGACTCCTGTACTGAATTCGTTTTTTACAAGGAAGTGACTGAAAGAGGTGAAACTGTCGTATCGTTGACTGTGGATATACTCGGGCGTGCGGCGGCTACAATTCGTGAAGATCCTGCAGCAGAGAGTGATGGAGTACCAATATGGGGCGTGGTTGAAGGTAGACTGTGTCGATGTACTTTTTAGTTGAACAGGGTCAAGACTCATATTTGACTGTAGGTGCCGTGTCTGCTCTTCATCAGTTGGCATCGCATCCTGCTGTTGCGGCTCAATTGTGTGAAGATCCCGCCTTTTTGACACTCATAGTGGAGTTCCTCTCGAGGAGCGACGTGAGTTGAATAGTTTGTCCAATGATGAATCAATTTGGGGTCAGTCAGAACATGTATAATGTTAAGGTATCTGGTGCTGAAGATGAACTTCTTGAACGTGAATTGCTCGGTCTCCTCTATCAGCTCAGCAAGACACCTGAAGGAGCTCGTACCGTTGAAGAGGCTGGTATGAATTATATCAACCATTTGTGGCTCAAAGAGTTCTTGATGATTGTCACTAATTTATTTAGGTGTCACCCCAATCTTGGTTGAAGCTATGCGATCTGAGCACAAATCTGTTGCAACGTACGCCTCTGGTGTTTTGAAGAATCTAGAGAACGACAAGCCTGCACCGTATAGACAGGTACTGATCAATCCTCCGGAAAGGGCTTGTCAAGATAGGCGAAAGCGAATAATATCCACGTATTGGGGTCTGGGGGAAGCAGAAAGTAATCATTAATAAAGAATAAAGCAGTGAAATTCGGTAGTACCAAAATGTTATTGGAATCACACATCGAATAAAACAGCTAAGCATGGCTCGTCCTGAGCGAACACTTGCCAAACATCCAGCTTCATATCATCTGGTACAAACCATATTCACAGATTCTCTGTAGAGCTCTTTGCAATATTTTCTGCCATGACTGTGAAATAGTTCCAGGATCTGGATGCTGAGCTATCATCAGGATGGCAACGAGATGGACTCGAACCAGAATTGTTTGGAGAGATGTATCCTGTGCACGGAATGGAGCGTATGGATCACTTCCCAACTCCACCCAACAATAGCAGCTGGTTCGATACGGATCTTTGATATAAGCATTTTTTTTTGCAATCTGATATGTTCTAAGCAGTTATCAGTGTGGAACTATAAGTTCGCGATGAAATTATCAAAACATTTGTACTCTCTCTCATACTTGACCGTATTATACGCTATGTAGATACTACTATTTATTCAATAAATATGATCTGTATAGCATTTTTCTCGGCTACTTGGCGAAAATCGCTAACTTATTTTACTACTGATGGGTCTGCTATTGAAATACTATTAGTTCATTGCGTAAAATAATGCCGTAATCCCGTCTATTTTTGATGGAGGAAATGGAGGTGGAAAATCGGAAAGATATACGAGTAGAAGGTAAAACGGTTCATGCAATGGCCATTCATCAAGGAATGGGAAAACTCGTCGTGACCAGAAAGAACGAAGAAAGGTAGGGCTTCAAAGCTTACGTAGGGCAATATTTCGAAAAAGTTCCGAAGAGCCCTGTTTCCCTCGGAAAACGCCTATGAGTTTTTCATCAGCTCTACGATCCGCTGCCTTTATTTGACAACCACTTTTATAAAGAAGATTTATTATTACTCCCGGTTCCTCAATATCGTTTCAGGGGTAAAAGTTAGTTTTGCACTCTACCGCGGTTTTGCCGGGTTTAATCCGCTTACTCTAAATGACGATTCTTATGTTCTGTTTTGGCTGGTCGAGATTCATTTAAAATAACTTCTGTGATATGGTCGTTTGGATGAGTTCTTGGTGCTAAGAAGACCAGAATTCATGGCTAAAAGTCTTTAAGCAACTATTAAATATTCAATTGGCAGAGAACTTCTGCTCAGTCTTGTTTTTTTTTCGATCTACGGTGTGCTAGAAATGATTGTTGCAGCTCCTCTGGAGATGTTATGGAACAGTATAATATTTTATGCGGTTGGATTTCTGTGTATGAAAAGGTGAGAAATTGTTATTTGCGGTATTAGCGGATATTAGAAGTTATTCATTATTTGTCCCAATTATTCTTGAGCTCTGACCCTTGAACGTTAAACCTACCCTTTGTTTCACACATGGTTTACCACTGCGTTTACCTTTCTATTTCAGATAATTTGTCCTAATAACGGTGGTATTGAGTCGGTATGTTTTGTTGGAGATCATATTCTTTGTACACATTTGAATGGATCGATCACGTTAGCCGATACACACTCAGACTTTATGCGGGTACTGTTACTGCTTTCTGTTCTCGTCTTCGCAATGATGAAAAAATTAAATTTTCAGCGAGTGCAAATATGTCCGTCGCCGCTGTGGTCTTCATGTGCCATTAACTCGACTCATGCTGCCCTAGTATCTCATTCTGCTGCTTTATATGTATTTAGCCTTGAAGAATCGGCCGCAGTATCAAATCTTACTCTGGGAATTGATCAACGACTATTTTCTGTCTGTAGCAGGAAGGATGTGGTATGCTGCATCTATTTTTATGCAGTTTGTTGTGTGTACCAAGGTATATTTTCGGGCAGTCTAGAATGACTGTTGATAATGCAATTGTTACGACAACAGTACTCTTAAGGGTGGTCGACGGTACTTGAGTTTATAAAAATTATACAGCTCCAAGCTCACATTGTTTTTTACCTTTTTCCTTAGCTTATTTTCTACGAATCGAGTGTTTATATAGACTTATGTCTAGTTTTTGCGTTTTCATTCTCCTAGCACAGGATTGGTCCACGATAAGGCTCGTTCGATTGGTTGTGCAAAGCCTGCGAAACGTCCTTAGCTGCTATTTACCCTTCATTTAATTCTGTTGTAAAATGATCACATAGTTTATATCTATCGGACTTTAGATTGCCGTCGGTGCTATGGATAGTGTCTATGTTGTCAAAAATAATGCGGTTGCACATAAGTTGGTGGTTCCAAGAAAGGTGCGCTGAGCTTGGTCGTTGTTATTTCGACTTTCACTTTTCGATTTACAGTTGCATCCTTTGGTGTTTTCAGGAGAAACGCCTTCCCACGATTGTGTGGAGCTGTTGTTTTTTCAACGACGTCGTTCTAGCTTGTGGCGATTCTCGTGGTGTTGTGTCATTCTGGAATTCTCAAAATGGAGCACTTTTGGCGGTCAGTCAACAATATACGAATTATTTTTTTGTTCAGCTGGAATTACGATTAATAACTGATATTGATATTCATCAGTCAATCTTTTTGAGAATGTGGCAAGTCATCAGTCCGAAATTCTTTGCTTGGTTCTATGTGAAGGTCGCATTCATGCTGCTGGTGTTGATCCTAGAATAATAAGCATAAAGCACATAGTGAGCCATGATTTCTTTTGAAATAACTTTCGGCCATTCGAACGAAGAAGGTATTACAGGCAGGAAATGATTTCCGCATTGTACAGCAGCGCAATGGACCCATGAGAGATGTCCGAGCAATGGCATGCTTCGATGACAAGGTCAACACACTTTGGTGCCTACCTACCCGCCTATTTTCTTATTCAACATTGCTTCTGAATGTGGACTTCAGGTTTATGCTGCAGGGGAAGATCATGAAATATTTGTTGCGAAGAGTGGCTGTCAAGTTCTTGCAACCCAGTGGAATGTAAGTATCCTCACGAATTGTTTTCTTTTTTCTTTTTGGAGGACCATTCGATTGGCTTGTCAGTCTAGCAGAAACCATTACTTGACATTCAGAAGCTCCTGTGTCTTGGAGGCTCATTGGCAATGTGTCGAGGGTACAATTTCGTGGATATTTGGACGTGTGGAGCAGGCGAGCACACAACATCTTCGGGTGAAGTGATTGTCGCAAGACAACCCGTCTATCTGGCACGGGTGTACTGTCCAGAGAAGTTGCCATTGGTTGCCTGGTAATTGTTCAAGTCTACTACTGTAAGGGGGAGGAGAGTTAGTTCTGGAATGATTTTCGAAAAATATCTTACGCATTTCAATTGCAGTGACTTGTCGGCTGATGGGCGACTTCTGGCTATTTCGTCTACCGATTCGACAACAGTATATCACCTGAACGTAAAGAGTGGAGAGAAAGCTTCTTTACGGGCTAGGTGTAGTAATCGCCCAGCGTCCGCGTTAAAAGTGAGTATTCATATTCAACACATGACTTTCTTCGCAAGTGCTCGAAATTTTCTCCACGACTGCAACCTATTCTTACCCTATTCTTTATTATTCTTTCTTGCTCTCATTTTTATTTTCTTTCCTTCAGATTGTTGGAAACTGCTTGTATATGACGACTGGGGATTTCGAATTATGGCGAGTTTCAACCAAAGACGGGGAGACTGTCCGAGTATTAGAGCAAAGTAGTAACATTGAGTGGTTTTTATCAGTTGGTGACACGGACAGTCATTTAATGAGATTTTAGATGGATGTGGCGGGGTTACTCAGCTTGCTGTGTCACCATGTGGACGTTTTGTAGCAGTTCTAACCACAAGATTGCAAGTTTTTGTTATCGACATCAAAACGAGTAAGTTTTTCTGCGAATTGTAAATAACCCTTGTTTCTGCCCCTTATTACAAGGTCTTTGCATTCTTATAATGCAGAAGCTGAAGGAATCTGATTAAGCTTAGTCACTAATCACTACTGTAGTCATTTGGTGCTCAGACCCATTGTTTTCAAACTCTTGTTTACTTTACTTTTATTCCTCGTTACTTAATAGAGGAATCCTTGCTCTTACGAGTAAGTCTCCCAATCGATGTGACATTCACCGATGGTGACAGTTTATTTGTGCTGTGTGCTACACCAGGATTCAGTGAGCCCAGCGCCACCGCCAAGGTCCTTTTCGAGGTAATCACTATCTTTTACGAATTCGTAAGCCATAGGAGTAATTTTGAATTGTGTTGCAGTTTCCAAAAAAAGGTGGTGCAGAACGACGGTCAGCGTCGATGGTCGATTTATTCGGGGCACCTGGCTATCGAGCGGTTTCCATAAGCGCTGGACCGAATGATCAGCTGCTCGTTGTGGCAAGTGATGGACAATGGGTGCTTATAGATAAGGTATGCGAAAAGACGCTTGGTTCAGTAGATAATAGTGTGTTTCAACAATTGGGTACTCTTTTATTTATAGGTTGAGCAACTTATTGATTGATTTGGTTAATTTCGTCAATTTCAGTCTTCACTAAATGTTTAGTTCTATTTCAGACGCGATCATCTGTATACGGTCCTGCTGGTGCTCAAACAGCACCAAATGGACGACTAAATGCAGCAGTTCCTAAGGCCCTTCATTTTCGGTCACAGAACCGAGTTTGCTCGTGCAGGTTACAAGCATCTGAACCTTCAACGGCACCATTCAAATTGAAGAAATTCGGGCAGCAATAGTGGTTTCGTCTTTTTTTATCCTTCACATTTCTGTTTTGTAAAAACTCGTTGATTCGTACTGGATTACATGAAATACAGCTTGAATTTCGTTTTTTGAAAGATTTTAGCTTACAACTTGCATTTTAGTGCGACAATGAAATTTTTTATGGTGTCAGATCTTTATCTCTCAGGTTGTCCTATGAATGACCAATAAGCTGTTATAAGCTCATTTACTCTTGTAAACATCTTTAGTTGTTCTTGTTGAATCATTGTTGTTTGTTGTTGTTTATGATTTATTTGAGAGGGAATGACTGGAAGTTTTCATTCAGTCACTCTATAAACTTTTTGAAAAGTCGTTTTTGTTTCACCTTGACTGAGGTATTTTTCAATAATGGGAACCAAAAGTAAACAGCGAAAGTAAACAAAAACATAGCTGCATACAAGGCCTCCGAACAATGGTGTAGCGATCAGCTATCACTGCGCAACATAATAGCTTGTCCTCTCACATAGCGACCAAAGGAATTCTAGAGACGTTCTATTCTCCTGCGCTGTGGCGCTAGTCCAGGTAATGCAGCTGTGGCGCAGTGGTGGACTGTGCTGTTCATATGCAACAACTTGATGGTTCGATTCACCGTTATCCATTCCATTAATTCCAGCCATTAACAATAATTTGAACTGGACGGTACGGGTTAATTACTACTCAGTCAATATCCGATCTAAGCTGGTTCGGGGTTTGTCTCTGCTATGCATGGATGACTGCTAAGCAGAACACAGGTTTCAGCTCTGGAGGCAATTTCGGAGCCATTGAATGAGTGAACTGGTATTTCTGTTTCTTCAGCCATCCGAAATAGTCCATTCTAGCGTAAAATGCTGAGCATTCACTGAACGCCCCAGTTTAGATCACCGCAATATTTGCCAAGTTGATCGACACCTTATCAGACGTTGATCAATACCGCCTGTGAAAAGCGATCTTTGACGATATGACTCATGTCGAACCTCGGTGAGTGACTTTCACACAAATTCATACCACTTTGATGATCTACGATTCATAATGGCCCAAAGTAGTCGACGAGGTATTGAACGGCCCCCCTACCCCTGAAATTGCCCTTGTCTCGATCTATTAGTTTATAGATAAAAGAATATTCCTCGAACCTATCTTGTACAGAAAAAGCTCGGTTACCCGAGTTCTGATTCTGCGGTTGATAAACAAAATTACAGGACGGGAAGCTCGAGGAAACCTCGATTTGATTGCTGGAATCTGGCTACAACGACATCTGGCTTGCGAATATTCCAGTCGGTCAGTTCATATTGATTCAAATTTGAGAACACGACCGAGTTTTTCCTCTTTTTGTCGCACTGTTGAGTTCTATGGTATAGACGATTTGGGTGATTTTCTACCCACAGATATAAGAAGGGTCTTGGGCATTGCGTGGAACAATCATATCAGAACTTCTTGGGGGGATTGACAAGATCTAACCTGGGATCGAATTTTCTGATTGACCAGTTACGAACCTTATCCTAACTCTCTCAAAGGATCCTAGCTTCCTTTGGATAATGATAGGGCGACGATCACCCGGGTAATTACGTCAGTGTATCAAGCTGACCAATCTGTTTCGGAGCTGTTATTTCTCACGATCTACCTCTCAAGCTGATCCACAGATGGACATAACAATCTCCTCTAACCAATATCACCACGTATCTGTGTTACGCCCATCTATTAATGGATGAGGAGGGAAGGCTTGAAACAGGGCTGTATGCTGTCGTGTTTTTAGTAGGCGTCATCCATTTGCCGAATGATTTTTTACAGATAGGTTCTGTATGTGCTCTGCTCCTCATTGGCAGTGTTGGATCACATTTTTCACCAACATATGCAGCACTGGTTACGTCAACTATGGCCGCTATTCTTGGTACAACATTACTTCTCATATTCGCATTTAATCTGCATTCGGTCACTAAAAACGTGGATTGGATCTTCTGGGTAGGTCCTACTCGTTGGGAGTCGTTCTAGAACGGTCTCGTCTGTCAGTCCGTCAGAAGAAAAGCAACTTTCTAGGAAACAATCTATTCCGGCTCGTTTGCATTTCTTTTTCTTATCAATAGCATCACGATGATCTACAGCAGTCTCCGATGGCAATATACAGCTTGGTGGCTTGGAACTGTAAGTACATTTTTATGTAACCAATATAGATAGAGCAGAGCAGTAATGCAGGCCTACGGAGCGAGCGGTCGCGACGCGGCCGATCGGTAGATGCTTCTTTTATCGCTTTGTTACTACCAAATACTACAAAATATTGAACAAATGGGTGGATCTCCACTCATCACCAGCATCGTGTCCATTCGCTCCTGCCAGCACCACTACAGACGTGGGCTATTTCACTATAAGGTCTTACCTACATAGCCCTCAATTTTAGGTCACGTGCGCCTTGGTGGGATTGGCATTCCTTATCGATGTTGTTGTTGTTGTACGGCTACAAATAAGAAATC